AGATGGGCAGAAAAAAGAGCTAACTCCTCATCTGCCATGTCAACAGATAATGGAAAATGGTGAAAAATCAAGAAGTAGCAACATAAGCTTATTGTTTATCGAAAAAAAAAAAAAAAAAAGCCAAAAACCACATCCATTGCGTTGAGTCAGATCTTACTCATAGCAACCCCTCCTTGGGTTTCCAAGGTGGTATCACTATGGAAGTAGATTGCCCAATCTTCCTTCTGAGGAGTGGCTGGTGGGTTTGAACTGCCAGCCTTCTGGTTAACAGTCAAACGTCTTAGGTACTATCCCACCAGAGCTCCTAGTAAATATCAACAGAATCAAATAAAAGTGGAAAGCAGTTACCCTAGGGAAAAGGATAAAATAGAGAAGGGAACCTGGGGGTTTAGTGTATTTCTTAAATCTTGTACAACTTATTTACTCTTTTTTTCTTAATTGTGGTAAACATATACAGCAAAACCTGTGAGAGCCAGAAGTTCATGGGACTGCCTTGTTTTCCTGGGTCTCACAAGTTTTCTACCTTTGACAGAGTGCAGTCTTCTCTCTTTTCTAATGTTCTGTACTAAATCACTAATCTATTGCCATCAAGTAGATCCGACTCATAGCGACCCCTCCTTGGGTTTCTGAGGCAGTATCACTAAGGAAGTAGATTGCCTTCTCTCACAGGTTTCCACCTTACATAGGTACTGTCTTTTGCAGATCTGGGTGGTGTAAGCAATTGACTGATAACCTAAAGGTTGTCAGTGCAAACCCACCCAGTGGTTCTGCAGAAGAAAGTCTTGGTGAACTGCTTCTGTAAAGATGACAGCCAAGAAAATCCTACTCTGCAACACATGGCAATGACTGAGGGCCAAACTGATGACAGCCAACACAACAACAACAATAAATACGTATGTAACAAAAATTTGCCATTTCAATAATCTTCACATGCACAATTCAGTTATATCAATTATGGTTATCATGTGTGCAACTGTCACCCTTATCCATTCCTAAATTATATCATCATCTAACAGAAGCTCACTGTCTCCTAAGCATTGAGTCTTTGTGTGCATAGCGCAAAAAAAAAAAAAAAAGAGCAAAAGAAAATCCCTTAAGAAAGTGGCATATAGAGACTGATTTCTCTCTTTCTCTTTTTCAAAAAAATTACCTTTAAATGTCCATGTTGAGCATTATGCTTTTTTTTTTTTTTTTTTTAAATGGGGCATCTTTAGAGGATTTTTTTTTAAATTGTGATTTGGATGAAAGTTTACAGAGCAAATCTGTTTTCCATTCACCAATTCACACACATTTTATTTCCTAAGGCAGCATTTGACTGCTAACCAGAAGGCTAGCAGTTCAAACTACCAGCCACTCCTTGGAAGGAAGACTGGGCAATCTACTTCTGTAGAGGTACCAACTCGGAAACCCAAAGAGGGGTTGCTATGAGTTGGTATCAACTGGACAGCAGTGAGTTCAATGTAACATCACTCTTCCCACATTCTCCCTGTGTTTCTCATTTCCAGTCTTCCTTCTCTCCTAACCCTTTCTGCCTTCTGAATTTTGTCCTTGGGCAAATGTTGCCCTTTTGATCTCAAATGGTTGATTGTTCTAAGCAGTGTGCATCTTCCTTGAATTACTGTTCACCTTATTGTTGTTGTTGTTAGGTGCCGTTGAGTCATCTCTGACTCATAGTGACCCTATGCACAGCAGAACAAAACACCGCCTGGTCCTGAGCCAGCTCCATGATTCTTGCTATACTCGAGCCCATCGCCACTGCCATGGTGTCAATCCATCTCGTGGAGGGCCTTCCCCTCTTTTGTCAAACTTCCATCTTACCAAGCATGACATTCTTCTCCAAGGAATGGTCCTGTGATAGTTGGAGCTGTGTGTCAACTTGGCTGGACCACAATTCTGTGTGGTTTAAGCAGTTGTGATGTGGCTATTCCTATGATGGGATCAGATGCATATGTTTTGAGCAGCCAATCTACTGAAAGGGAGTTTCCCTAGGGGTGTGGCCTGCTTCCAGTGTATTTATGGACATCCTGGGAAAAGGGACACTCTTCTGTGGATTGGGATTCTGTTGTGCTGCCTACAACTGTCTGTGAACGAACAATCCACCATTCGGCCTGGAGATCTTGGATTCATCATTTGTTGGAGTCAATAGCCAGTGTACTGCCTGCCAACTTTGAGCTCCTCAGCCCCTGCAGCTGCGTGAGTCGGGAAAAGCCTCCAGGTTGATGTTTGATCCAAGAACTTTGGACTTGCCAGTTTCTATAAGTGTGTGAGCCATTTTCCTAAGATAAATTTCTCTCTCTCTGTATATAAGCTTTACTGGTTTTGTTTCTCTAGAGAACCCAGTCTAACACAGGTATCTTCTGACAACATGACCAAAGTATGTGAGACAAAATCTGGCCATTCTTGCCTCCAAGGAGCATTCTGGCTGTACTTCCTCCAGGACAGATCTGTTAGCTCTTTTAGCAGTCCACAGTACTTTCAGCACTCTTTGCCAACACCACAGCTCAAAAGCATCAATTCTTTTTTGGTCTTCCTTATTCATTGTCAAGCTCTTACACGCATATGAGGTGACTGAAAATACCATGGCTTATGTCAGGTGCACCTTAGTCCTCAAGGAGACATCTTTGCTCTTTAGCACTTGAAAGACTTGGTCCTTTGCAGCTGATTTGCCCAGTGCTATATGTTGTCTGATGTCCTGACTGCTGCTTAAATTGGTGTTGATTGCAGAACCAAGTAATGTGAAGTTTTTGACAATTTCAGTCTTTTCTCTGTTTATCGTAATGTTGCTTATAGGACCAGTTGTAAGGATTTTTGTTTTCTTTATATTGAGATGTAATCCATACTGCAGACTGTATTCTTCAATCTTTATCAGTAAGTACTTCAAGTCATCCTCACTTTCAGCAAGCAAAGTTGTGTGTCAGTGTATCACAGGTTGTTAATGATTCTTCTTCCAACCCTAATGCTATGTTCTTCTTCATATAGTTCAGTTTCTCGGATTATTTGCTCAGCATACAGATTAAATAAGTATGGTGAAAGGATACAACCCTGACACACTGCCTTCTTGAGTTTTATCCATGTAGTGTTCCCTTTTTCTGTTTGAATGACAGCCTCCTGGTCTATGTACAGGTTCCTCACGAGTACAAGTAAGTGTTCTGGAATTCCCATTCTTCTCAATGTTATCCACAATTTGTTATGATTCACACAATCAAATGCTTTTGCACAGTCAATAAAACACAAGTAAACATCTTTCTGGTATTCTTTGCTTTGAGCAAAACAGATGGATCTTGGCTCAAAGAAAAGATGTTCACCTTATGGTCCTGTCTATTGTTTGACTGAAAATTGAGCTACAGGAGTGATTTTCGTTTCAGGTTTGAAGAGTGACGAAGGGCCATAGTCTCAGGCAGAGACTGGTGGAACCTCTGAGCATTATGCTCTTTTAAGAACTATTTATATGGGATCAAGTTGACAACAGAAACTCCAAAGATCAGATAAGAGCCTTAGGGGGCAGTGAATTTATGTTAATGAGGGAGGAACAACTCAGAAAAGAACGGTCAGAATGCTGCACAACTTGAAGAATGCAATCAATGCCACCAAATGGTATATAAAGAAATTGTTGAATTGGTGTATGTTTTGGTGTGTATATTCTCAACAACAACAAAGTAAATGAAATCTTGAAGTCACCTTTGAGGTATAATTCAAAAAACAATAAATTGTACAAGTTTTTGTTTGATGAGTTGTGATATCAATCTAGCATCTATCTCTTAATGAACAACTGGAACAGATGGTTTTCTTTTTCACTGATTAAGCACAAAATGGGGTCCTTGACTTACATTTAGAGGCCACAAAGACATCAAACAGCCTATCTCTTAAGCCCAAGAATCACACTCAATATACTGAGGGGCTCACACCACAAGAGGTGGAAATGAGAGCTGCAGAGAGGTCACTTGTTTCAATGCCTACACTTGTAAGCATAATGGTGGGCAGAGTTGCTCTTGAGATTTAAATTGTTATGTTTAATTTTTAAAAATGCAATTTTTAAAAATCCATTGTCCTGTGCTATTTATAGTTCTCTACTGATTGTCTATCCTGACAATCATTAACATTTAAATTTTACATAAAACGCCACATACAGACAAATGCATATGGGCATGCAAACTAAGGGGAAGAAGCTGACCAATGCCCCAGACATAATGAAACAGCCTCCTTTTTGTGTTAGAGGAGGCACAGTAGTTAATATTCCATATCAGCCCCTGAAAATTATTCTCAATAAATATGTAAGAACACATTGGAATTTAAATTTGAGTGGAAAAATTTCAATGCTGCTCTTAAAAAAGGATACCGGTATACTACGCTGGTGAGAACTGCTTCCAACAAACCCAGGGGTGTGGTTCCAAGAGGAAAATTCTAGCCTGAGATCCCACCCTAGAAATCACATCTTTTTCCCTTAGTATAAGAATATAGTAGTACCATGGTTTGAAGCTTCCAGAAGTTCTGATCCTGATTATATAAAACAGAATGCATGCTTGCTTCCCCATTGTTCATCTGGTCAGCCACATAGCCTACCATTATAACATTACTTTTCAGAAACTTATAGTGACAAATGAGATCCTAAAATCAAGAGATTTATCTTGAGCTCCTCAGGGGGCTGGAAAAAAAAAATCTAGGTTTATAAAATCTGTAAAAAGTTTTACAGAGTTAAGGTATCCCATGAGGAGTGTACCGGGTTGTTTGGACAATATGAAATAAACCACAGGAAGTCTGATAGTCTTGAAAGAAATATTTGTGCCTGACTCATAGTTGGTACAGAAAAAAGGTTCTTTTAGGATTATCTATGGTTTTAATAATTATCCTGCTACACTAAGTAGTGACTAGAAAAATCTCATCCATATGATCATTTGGCCCTCAGAAGAGGAACAGAGGAACTAGTCACATAGCTTTTACTCAGTAGCTGCCTACCTATAACCTCAAACTCTTGCCATTCAAGGGTTCAGGTGGTTGGTTACCTGACATTGTGAGACTGCTTGTCACAGGACAGCACAGTGCTTGCAATGGATTGCTGCAGGTGTTGGCGTTGCCTCCTCAGGATTTGCTGGAAGTCGTCTTCCAGGGTCTGGACTACGTAACGCAGAAAAAGGACTCGCCCTGGCAGATTCTGTCCCTGTGGGGAGAAAGAACAAGTCAGCATTTCCTCTTCTGGATGACAATGAGTATTGGCTCTCATAAATATTAAATCTAAGGGAAGGCCACATGTCAGCAAGGGTGGCTGTGCCTGAAGGAAAGGCTCCTAGGAGAATGCAGGCAGGCTGGGACATTACAAAAGAAGACAAAGAGAGTAAGTGCTAAAAGAATCATACCCTACAGGGCTCCAGAGGAGTCCCTAGATGGTGCAAGTGGTTAATATGCTCAGCAACTAACCCAAATGTTGGGGGTTCGAGTCTACCCAGTGGTACCTTTGAAGAAAGGCCTGTCAATCTACTTCTGAAAAACTAGTCAGTAAAAGCCCCATGGAGCACAGTTCCTCTGACACACATGGGATTGCCGTGAGTTGGAGTCACCTCAGTGTCAACTTGTTTGATCTTAAGAGACAAAAATGGGAAGTCAGTCTCTTTTTCACATTGAACTTACCTATCAGTCTTAGGATAAATCCAGAACTGTGGACAGCAGAACAGAGAGACAGAAGGAAATTGGATCCTTAATGTCAACTGTTGAACTGCTAGATCAAGCAACCATGATATGATGTCTACCCCAATGTTAAACTTGCAGTAATGTGAGCTAACACATACCCTTATTGTTTAAGCAAGTTGGAGTTGGATTTTCTATTACAGGTGAAATTATACTAACTAATAAAGCCCAATAGATCCCAGTTGTACCTTGTTGCTTTGTTAATAAATGACTTACCTCACTTTAGCATATAACATGCAAATGCATATAACACACATTGTGGGCACAGGAAGCTAACATATGAGAAGGGTTGTATCATTCCCCCCCACAAAAATCCAACAATGGTACAATGTAGTGTTATTTGCATAATATACGACAACTGTAAGCATGGTCTATGAATTCTGTATGGCTGCTGCAACAGATTACTGAACCAGAAGAGAAGTAGAAAGTGCTGGTGTCAGAACTAGTAAAAAGGTTGGAGAGTGAAGGTATGTCTGACCTCCACTTCATAGGGATAAGCCTTGGGCTGATCTTGAGTCATATTGTCCCCCTTAAGTTAGACAGGTTCTGATGATACTACTACTACTATCACCCTTTTACAGTAGGTAATCTGGCTACTAGACTTTCTATCCTCAAGAAGGGACAGGCCGACTGCTCCATTTATAGACTTTCAACAAATACCCATTTATAGCCCATACCTCACCCCTCCCTCTACCATATATTATGTTTCTAAGTCCCAAACTGTCTGCTGTGTTCTAAAGGGTAGATTCCCTCCCCTCTTGGCTGTAGCCCTTCTCCATGTATTCTAGGCTGTAGCTTTCTTTACCCAGTCATCACTCTTATATTTCCTTCCAAATCTTTGTTCAGGTCTATTGTCCTTCTCCTCATTTTTACTGCCACGAATAATGTTCTCTATTCACTTATTATTATTTTTAGTGGGATCTCAAGATCTCATTAAAAGGGAGAGGGGATAAATGACTGCATTCGATCTTTAATTAGAAGACAGCATACTGCACTTCAACTGAAATTTTTTGTGGGAGCAGATGTATAAGGAGGGAATATAATGAATTTAATGATATGGGACTATAATAATAAACCTTACTATCGAATTTATTCTCACTTTTGTTTCTAGTTAAAACTTCCTCTGTAAAAGCTACACCCTCATGGTTGTTATGTTACCTCTTCCTCCATGACATAGGTGAGCAGCTTCCAGTCCCACTCTACTGTCTTGGCATTGGCTGGATGTAGCCTGAAAGTCAAGTGACATTAATTAGAATTCTGGAGAGTTTAGTGGAAGAAGGGATGGATCTGGAAGATGATAAAAGGAAGAATCCTTTTATCCACAGAGCTCTTGCCCACTCTCTGGTACCAAACTACCTCAGTCTAAGTATAATAGAATTTCATTGCTTTTTGCTACCCAGTATACACTTCCATTTTTGGAGGCATTAATTGTGTTTCAAGAAACCAACTCTTTATCACTTCTAGACCATATCCAACTGGCTTTACCTACCAGGACCCTGGAACAAAGCATGTGACCTGTCAAGCCCATCATGATATTCTACCCCTCAGTTTACAGTGACTGACTGAAAGATGGGCACATGTCTCATGTCAGACCAATCAAAGCCTACAGGACTTAACATCAGAACTCTTGTGTAACTAGCCAGGAAGTAGACTCTCTCTTTCACTAGGACTGTCATAAAAGTCTGAAGCTGGGGGGCTACTATGTGGAACCTGAAAATAGAGCCAAGGCAGAGTTGAAAAATGGGTCCTAGTGACCAGGTTTGAAAACTGAGTCAAGTCACATCACACCCTTAAGTTTCTAGTAACAGGAGTCATTAAATTCTTCTTCTTCTTCTTCTTTTTTTTTTTTTTACCAGCGGTTAAAGCCAGTTTAGATTGAGTTTCCTGTCACTTGTGACCCAAACTATACTAAAATACTAAATCAGCCTCTCTAAGGGTTAGCTGAATAAAGCTTAGGCAAGAGAAACCAGTGCCCTGAGCCCAGGGTCCCTGGAAGATTTGCCAACAGCTGGCTGGGAAGGTTCATACTGTTGAATTTTCATGAGGAGCATGTAGGCCTCCTTTAGGACATCCACAGTCTCAGAGCCACTCAGCAGGATTTTCTGAATGATGTGAGCAACAATTTCTCTGGGTGGGTAATGCTGAGGTGACACAAAGTCCATTAAAAATTGCACAGTCCCCAGGGGAAAATTTTCTTCAATCGTATTTGTCACCATTCTTAGTCTTCGATGAGAGATGGGTTCTACTTTCCGACCCTTGTTCTGTAGTGATAAAAAGAAACAAAATCAGGAAGGGTTACTGTAGCACATAAAAATGAGAGGTTCTGAAACTGGTTGAAGACAGCAAAATGTTTGATGCATTTGAAATATTTTTTCATAATTGAAAAAAATTATAGGAAAGCCTTATCTAAAAATCTTTTAATGATATGGGAAAATACTTACATTAAGTTTAAAAAGTCAAAATTAAAAATTCTATATACAACATGAATTCATCTATGTGGAAGTAAAGGATAGAAAAGAAAGTACAAAAGAGTTAAGAGTTCGTGTAAGTTGATATTGGGCTGAGGGTGAAGAGAGATTTAGGGTTGTTGCAATGCTGTATGAAGACAGAAATTTTAAATAAGGGTTGTTGTTAGGAGCAGAATAATATTTTGCTGTTTTTGAGACAATAGTAATTGCTTTTTTTTAAGTATATATGTAAAGACTGGGAGTGAATATGTAAAAATCCCAATTATTAAAAATTTAAAATGCACATGTATAAAAGTTCAACTAAGAAGGAAATACACCAAACAATAAGCTGAGTGATAGCACTGTGGCTGATATTTTTATGTTTTAAAAAAGTTTTATAATAATTGAGTCTTATTAACTCAGAAAATAAATATTAACTTTGAAATAATTTGAAATTAACTTTGAAAGATATGACCGCTCATGCAGCATAGTGTAAAACAGTGATGACTGGGCCCTTCCAGAAAATCTTCTGGAGAAGACCAGTCAGCTCTCTTCATGTCTCAAATCATCTGAGGGTCCTCCTGAGCTGATGAGAGGCTATGGCCACATGTGGCGTATAATGAAAACTAAGAGCAAGAAAAGACAATAAAAGAACAAACATCTTGCTTTGGGGTCAGGTTTTACATTTGATGGACTTTACAACCTTGGGCGCTTATTACTCATTTCTTGCCTACAAATGGGGATATCTACAAACAGACAAATGTTTATAAATTGTTTTGATGCTCATACTCTTAAAGGGAACTATTATTTATAGAGTATTTCTATAGGCCCTGAAAGATGGCTATGTGCTTTAGGTATTCATCTTGGAGTCAAATAACTATGATAAGGGCATTATGACCCTATTTTAGAGCTAAACAAAATAAGACTCAGAGGAGTTAAGTTGAATGGCTAGTAAGTGGCAGTGTGGGGAATGGCTGAAGAAGGTTAGGGGAAAAATGACCTAGTAAAGAATTATTTATTACAGACTAAAAATAAACCATTGGAGGGGCAGAAAAGATTTACAGATGTATTCTAGACAGTTGAGGTTCTTTAAGAAGATAAGAAACAAGGATCAAAAAGAAAAATCCATCCTGTCTAGTCTATCAACTAAAAATCTGGGGTATGTGTATACAGAGAAGGATGATGTGGTCTCCCATGTGCATCTACTGGTAGCTTCATGTAGTCATGCAGTACTTACAAAGACCCCCACAATCCCGACTAGGAAAACTAATAAACTCTTTCTAGTCTCCCATGTGCTCTTGATAATGGATAGATGCATCACCAACTTGAGGTAAACCCACCGGGAAAAAAAAAAGAAGCTAATGGTTGAGTGGAGTCACTCAGAAGGAGAAAACAAGAGAAAAATAAAAACAATTCAAACAAGAAGAAAAATCATTCTTCAAAGTCAAGTCAATGGGAACACCTGGCACCTGCTAAGCTGGGTCACTGATTGCTCCAACCAGAAGGAAAATGCACCTTTTGACTGTTGGAACTACTTCAACCCAGTCTTTGTGATGTTAGGGATGGAGTTGTGAATATTGGAAAAAAATAGTTTCATATTGTGGGACTTTTTGCTTTACACATCTGGTTTAGTTCTCAAATATTGAGAACCAATGGGAAGAAGTATTTTCACTAAAATCTTGAAACTGAATTTCCTCCCTGAAGGGCAGAAAGTAATACTTTTGGAGGCACTGAAGTGTCAAGAGCATTATTATCTCACTGATATGGGAACTGTGATAAGGGTATCAGGAAGAGAAAGGCCTAAGAGTTGAAGACAAACACCTGATGAAGTCCTAAGATAAGCCAGACAATCAAAAACGCACTGGACACGTCATCTCATTAAAAGGCCTTGTGAGGTGTATTTTTATTTCCATTATATAGATAGGAAAGCCAAGGCTTAGAAAGGTAAAGTGCCTTGAACAGTGCCATGTTTAAGTGTGGGGCTGAATTTTGAACCTTGATCTAACTCTACCCTGCATGGTCTTGACAGTGAGGGGAATATAATGATGTCAAGTCTATACTAGGCCTGTCCTGTCATGCATGGACTCCAGTCACACATGCTTTATCCTAGGCCTATACAAATGATCTTAGAAGAAGATATGCAAGCTCACCTCTCTTGCATCTTTATCTGGTATTAGTGTCTGGAAGAAGAGGTGATGCACAGGAGGGCGTAAGAAGTACTTCAGTCTATGCAGGCATGGTCTGTTGTGGAGCCCGCCTTGTGGTGTTCGTATTTGTACATGGGCAGATCTAGGGTTGACGGGCTCTAACAGTGATATCTCTTTTCTGACTGGGGTTTCCAGGACAGAGAGCCAAGGAACTTTCTCTAAGGGACTTTCGGACCGTGGAGACTGTGGACTGGGAGAGCAGTTCTGAGAGGATGGAACTGAGATATCCATAGGAGTGTCACGGTTCTGTATGTCATTCTGAGGTGAGTTAGGCTTGTCCCATGGGAAGTCAAGCAAATCTCCAAGTGGGCATGGAACATCTCCAGAAGAATATGGCACATCTCTTGATGAATGTGGCACATCTCTCGATAAATGTGGCATGTTTCTCAGTAAGTGTGGCCCAACGCTTGGTGAGCAAGGCATATTTCCTGGTGACTGTGGCACATCTTCTGGTGACAGTGGCACACCTTCAGGTGAATGTGGCATGTTTTCCGGTGACAATGGCACACCTCTAGGTGAACGTGGCACATTTTCTAGTAATAGTGGCATGTCACCAGTTGAATGTAGAATGTCTTCAGGTGACAGTGGCATGTCTCCAGGTGAATATGGCGTGTCTTCTGGTGACAGTGACATGTCACCAGATGAATATAGCATGTCTGCTGGTGACTGTGGCATATCTCGCAGTGACTGTGGCATATCACGCAGGTGTGCCAAATTTTGTGGATATATGTTTTGAGGTGGACTGGGTACATCCTGAGGTAGGCCCAGAGAGTCTGGAGGTGGGCAGAGTGAGTCTTGAGGTGGGCTTGGTGAGAGCTGAGGAGGCCACAATGAATCTTGAGGTGGACTTGGCATGTTCTGCTGAAGGAACAGTCCATTCTTAGGGCAGGGCACATCCTGAGGAGGGCAGGGCATATCTTGAGGCAGGTGAGGCAGGGCTTGTGGTTGGCACTGCATGGTTTGTGGAGGGCATGACAAGGCTCGTGGTGGGCATGAGGAGGCTCGTGGAGGACATGGTGAAGTTTGCAGTAGGCATGGCCAAGGTGCCCTTTGACTGTTACTGTTAGCATTATTGCTTGTTGTGGAGAGACCAACTGAAGTCAGCTGTAGGTTTGCCAAGAAGCTGAGGTCACCTTTTAATGCTGCTGAGCTACAATTCGGCTCTGCTGGACAAACAGAGTCCCGATTGATGGATGTGGGGGGTTGGGGACCTTCAAGTGTGGTTTCTTCCAACAGGTCCAAATCCACAGGATCATTGTTAACAATTCTCCGTGTGACAGGCTGAGAGCTTTGGTCTACCTGCCCTTCCATCACCTCTTGGCTGGAGAGGTTGGCACATGCCTGAAAACTGGTTGTTTCCTTCTGTGAAGGAGTAACAGGGTCTAGAGTCAAGTCAAGAGTAGCAATTGGCCTGTTTTCTTCCTCAGTTCCTGTCAGGTCAATCACACAGAGTCCATTACGATCCTTTGCCCTTGGTCTAGTTTCTCTAGTTAGGTCGATGAAGTCCTGTGTAAAGGATTGTGAGATACAAGAAGTCAAGTAGAGATTCTCAGCTTTATAAGAAGACTTAAGACTTAAGCATTATTTTACCTTTTCACTTCACTGTTAATTTATACATCTTGTATAACATAAACATTATTTTCTTAGGTTAACATTTACCTTGGTCAAAGCTATCAACTCTATACCTTCTTAAATTATCCAAATGCCATGTACACATAACCAGGGGCATCGTAGGAATTTTTTTTTCCCCTGATCTAAGAGGGATTGGGGAGAGGTAGGGAAAATTGCCAGGGATGACAAAAGCAGCAGGATCCAGGTGGGATCCAGGTAAGGGGAGAGCAGAGTGGTTTTGAACAGTTAAGGGAAATGAACTTGTCTGTCAGTTTGTCTTACTGTGGTGGTTTGTGTGCTGCTATGAGGCTTGAGGCTGTGCCATCAGTGTTTCAAATGTCAGCACGGGATGCCCCTGGTGCATAGGTAACAGGCAGTTTATAGACTGAGACAGACTAGGAAGAAAGAAGAGGCCATCCACTTCTCAAAGAACTGGCCAGGGAAAACCTTATGAATAGCAGAGAAACACTGTCTGATACATTACTGGGCAACTTTATGAATAGCCGGGAAATATTGTCTGATGCAATGCAGAAAGATGAGCCCCTTAGGTCGGAAGGCACTCAAAATATGACAGGGAAAGAGCTGCCTCATCGGAGTAGAACCAACCTTAATGATATGGATAAAGCAAAGCTTTTGAGACTTCTACTTGCTGATGTGGCACGAGTCAAATTGAGGAGAAACAGCTGCAACCATCCATTAATAATAGGAACATGGAACGTATGAAGTATGAATCTAGGAAAATTGGAAGTTGTCAAATATGAAATGGAAAGAAAAAAAAACCTGTGGAGCACAGTTCTACTTTGACTCACAGGGGACTTCCATGAGTTGGAAGTGACTTGATCACAACTTAAAAAAAAGAAAGAAAGAAAGGAATGCATAAAGATTGATATCCTAGGCATTAGTTAGCTGAAGTGGACCGGTTTTGGCCATTTTGAATCAGACAACCAGATGATCTATTATGCCTGGAATGACAATTTGAAGAGGAATGGTGGGGCATTCATTATTGCAAAGGATGTTTCAAGATCTGTCCTAAAGTACAGTGCTGTCAGTGACAGGATAATATCCATATGCCTACAAGGAAGACCAGTTAATAGTACTATTATTCAAATTTACACACCA